CCTTTCTTAAATAGAGGCAAGCTACATTAACACATGTATCCTTTGCTGCAGTTGTAGGTGAGATGCCCCTGCCGTTTCAGAGTTACCAGAGTTATAGAGTTACTTCAGCAATGTAAGGCCTTCAAACAGATAATAACAAACAGTCTCAAGCAATTTCCAGACATGGTTGATGTCAGCCTTTTTGCTTCTGGCAGCCACTCCCTAAGCTTCCAGTCTCCCTAGTCACTGCCGTGTTTAGCAGCATGTCTTAGACTACACACTTCTTCCCTACTTCCAGCATAAATCAGACCTCTCTGTAAGGAGACTTACTGTCAACACCTCTCTTTGTGAATAGATCATACCTGATTTCAAGTGAAGCTGCACTAGGACACATGTAATAAACCAGCTCAGCAGCTGATGGACTCTACAAGCTGGAATGAAACACCAAATTTAAGGGGTTTAATTGTTGTCACTGAGATCTGCCTGAAGAGCCTACGACACAGCGATGTCCACAAATCCATTATCTGTGAAATAAGGTGGCTGTTGCTGCAGGGATCAAGCAGCTGTGTTCCTGTGTGGTGCATTGCTGGGCTGCTCAGCTCATAATTCTGGGATACAAAGTGTTCCACAGTGAATTAAGAGCAAAAAGAGCTTCATACATCTTAAGCTGTAACTGGCCTTCAGTTAAAGGAGATGATTAACTGGGTGTTTAATAACTAAGATCTCATAGTATTTTGTTCTGGAAACACTGATGAGTCAAATCAGGCAATGTTTGTAAGGGTTATATAAAATGAGTAATTCTGAGTGTTTTATAAAGCAGTGACTTCCAAAAAGTGGTTCCTTTTGCTTGTCTCTGATGTAGAAAGATCACAGGCCTTTGTGAAACTTTCTGGTTTGTGTACATACAGAAACTGCACACTAATAAGCACTTTGATATTTTCTGTTCCAGTTTGAGTAAAACTGTTTGGAAAAATCAAGGACTAGGTGGAGAGGGCAATGTTGGGGTTTTATCAATAACTTATTCTATTTTGGTAAATGTTACACATTCAGTACTTTTCCTCTTGCTGAGTTCCTTGCTAAAAGTAATTTGTAAGTATCATGATGCACTGACGGACTCATGTCCAGTTCTTCCAAACAAACAAACATAACATGTAGCTACTTACCATGGATAGAAAACTGTAAAAATTTAGTTTAGTGCTAAAGCAATTAGTGATAAAGCAATAAAAATAAAGGTGTTTTTCTTTTTATTGCTTTAGCACTAATTGTGCATACACTGTGAGAGATTCTTTATTACCCTGATACAGTACCTCTTACACCAAAAGACAAATGAAAATATTAGTCATCACCATTAATATTATTTCCTATCCACTTCCATATATTTTTTTACTTTAAAACCTAAAGAAAAAAAATGTTTATTGGCACCCATTTTTGGAATTAAATCAGCTTATAATACAAGAATATTCATATCATTGATCTGTCTCAAAGACTAACCTATAGAACAAATTGGTTTGTATAATTGTCTCTCTATTCACTTGTCCCTTTCCAAAGAGGCTTTTATTTCAATGCCCTACATAGTTACTTCGTGGAGCACAGAGTTCCAGAAGTACAGAGTTCCATTTGAAACTTTCATGCAGTTGCAATTCTTTTGTTTTCCATCTTCCAGAAGAGGAAACATAAGTAGTGCTCATACACTGACAAGAATTCTTGCAGAAAATAAAAGTAGCACTAGGTAAAGATTAATTATTTCATTCTCTCTCCCTGTGGGTGCTGCACACGTGCTTATGACTGTCACATTCTAGTACAGAAGAAAGAAATTAATCAGTGTTTAAATTGAAGATATTCCCTGTGTAATAACTTGATTTACTCAATCTAAAAAGCAAGGATTTTTCAAACCTGTCCAACCAATTGGATGATTTAAACAAATCTCATAAATCCAGATCATTTGGTTTTTCTGTATCATCTTGCTTTGTGTTCTACCTTGCATTAAAACAAAATTACTTTCATTGCATATTTCTATAATTGGAATATAATTATGTCATAAATTCATTAGTTTATTATAAAAATGAGGCTAGGAAAAATGGGGGGGTTGCCTGTTCTTTTAAATTTATGTTGACTGATGACATTATTTCCATCCTCAGTAAGCACTGAGGATTGCAGTTCCTAAGAAGTGCTTTTAAGTGTTCTTTTAAAGGCAATACTGAAAAATTATATTTAATTCATCCAGTTAAAATGTCATAACCATACAATGGTCATGCATTGTTTTCTATTGAACTTGGCAAATTTGTACTGTGAAATTGTTTTTCCACACTATTTTGGCAGGAAAAGGCCAAGCAGTTATTGCAATTTTGAAGAATCTGTGATTACAGAACAGTTATTTTCTTCTTAAACAAAATGTCACTTTACAGAAAGGCATATCTTGGAAACTGTTTCACTGACTGTGCCATTGTCTGACTTAGCATCACTTGACTAACTAGCATGTTTAGAGGATGAAAATAATCAGATGTGAGCATCAAGATCTCCTCACTTTCTTTGGATTGGCATTCAATTTGTTTGCAGAAATAGGAAGGAACCAATTATTTAAATCTTTTCAGGACATCATTTTTAATTTGTAATTTTTATTTAACTGCTCCATTTTATATAGCAAAAACAAAGGCAGATTTCGTTGTTACCAAACAGGACATGTAACATGAATTAATTTGCATCTCAGCCTGTGAATCCAACCTCTCCTACAGCCCTCCTAAAGATGCCAGATACTGCCTAGATGAGCAAACCCCAGCTGCACCAGAAGCAGTCATGGAACCTCAAAAGAAGGAAGGGGGAGGCCTAACTTTTGGAAAAGGGGAACTGACAGCAGAAGTAAGAGTGGAAGAAAGATGATGCAAAAATACAAGGATGAATCATACAGTGATAAGGGGGAGCTAACAGGTGAAGGCGCGAACAAGAACAAGACCCAGATGTCTAACAGAGCCCATCGAATATCAAGAGTCTGTATCATAATCAGAAGTTCTTAGACCCCACCTTAATCAAGACCAGAAGCTGCAGTCCTAAGGATCTTGGAAGCATAGCTTCCAAGGGGAAATTCTGGACATGCAGAACCCATTTCAGTAGCTTTGCTTCTGGCCCACATTTACTTTGGCTTTTAAGTCTAACGTATCAGATCAGAGAGAGGTGCCCAGGGATCAGGACAGGGGATGACATAATTTTAGATATTTCTTCTGTAGTTGTCTTTACCTCATGAGTGATACGAAAGAAGAGTGAGGCCTGGCAAAAAAATATTTCCTTTGTAGTGGCACTACTAGAAGTGATCCAAATCCATCTTAGCTGGTGAGTTGCTACCTGTAAGTTATTTATTTATTTTAATTATTTCTGTGTCTGTCAGCCAAATGTCACTCAGGATGTTTCCTAAATTAAAATGTTTCCCATAGGACTGAACCTGGAGCTCTGAAAAAAAAATCCTTCACCATGCTTTGCTTACTGGTCCCTGCCTTCCTTCAGAGACATAGTCTGTGACCCATCCTTAAACCCAGGAGATCTGCAATGGGGAAATGAATAGTGGATTTTTTTTTCCCCCTGAGCATATAACTTCCTTAATTTATAGTTTCAATTATCTATATGAATTTAAAAGGTGTCTCGGGATTTGAGCAATTTATCTGAGTGCTTCAGTGTTTCTTCCTGATGCTAATATATTTATTTGAAGATTAGCCATCTAAGTATTTCTACATATGGATAACTAAGAAGATGTTTGCCTGGTGTTGTCAGCTTCAGTAGTTCATTACAGCATGAATCTATATAAAATCCAGACATTTGGTTCAACATCTGTCATGAAGTGCATGTCATTAAAATGTTATTTGGTGAGGGAAAATACAACTAGAATGTGTTTATGCATGACACTGATCGTTGTTCAGAGAGAAAGGGGAAGAGAATGAATTAATAAATATTTACCTCACTTTGAACTATGACATTATCAAGATTCTTATCCAGGTGAAGTGTACTGTGGGAGCAACAAGACTAAAGGCAGCGTTGGCTGAACAACTGCTAGTAAAAGGGAGGCAGGAGATCAGCATGCCATGGCAGTGAATGTGGTTCTGGAGTGGGGAGAGTGCTGTCCTGAGCACTGTGAGCTGGGAAAGCACCATCTGGCAGAGACAGCGCACGGGGCTTGCAAGAGAGACTGCAAGTAATGTGGAAAAATCTGGACACAACAGTCAGATATTGGAGCTGGCACGGCGGGTGGATTCCCAGAGCAAGAGGTAACTGCTGGGAGAAAGGTTACCTGATCCCAAGAGGGAAGAGGAGAGCCTCTTCTCCTGCTCTGCCATCCATGCAAAGCTAATAAAGCTGTGGTTAGAACTGACAACATCAGCCACGGTCATTTTCTTCACGAAGTACATCCCAGTTGCCCCAGGTTTTAAGATTCAAGGTGTACCTCACTAATTGGTTATTTGGCCTGGGCGATGTTGCTTCCAATTCCCAGTTAACTTCGGAAGTTACGCGCGGACTGTGCAATAAGCTGGCGGCTACACCTGTCGCCTGGCACCGCTCTTCCCTCGCACGGGGACAAAGCCTGTGGGCTCAGCGCTGCTGCGGGAGGGCAAACCCTCCGCGCCGGGACTGGCCGCAGGACTGGCCGCGGGAGCGCCGGGCTGTCCCGTGCCGCCGGGAGCTGGCGGGGAGCGCGGGGAAGGAGCGGGAGAGCGGGGAAGGAGCGACCGGCCCGGGGCTCCGCTTGGTCCGCCTGCTCACCCGCAGCGCCTCCCGAGAGGAGCAATTCCTCCGCTACCGCTCCGCTCCGGAGGCAACTCGAGGGCTGCCCACAGACTCCCGCACTGCCCTCCAGCGGGGCCAGTGCCCCCGGGGTTCCGCAAAGCAGAGCTGCCAGCGGCTCCCTCACCGCTGCTGCCAGCGCCTCAGCCGCTCACCCGAGCACTCTCAGAACGCCCAGGGGCAGGGAAACTCCAAGCCCCCCACGCGAGTCCCTCCGGGATCTGCCCCGGGGGGACGCTCCCGGCTCGGCTCGGCTCGGCTCGGGAGGGCGCACGCAGCGCGAGCGCCGCGCCGGTCCCTGGGCGGGCGGAGCGGGCGCGCGTCGCGAGGCGGATCCTGACTCCCGGGAGTCGCGGCCGGGACATGGCGGTGGCCGCTCGGCGGCCGCGGCGGCGTCCCTGGGCCCTGCTGTGCCTGGCTGTGGCCGCGCTGCTCTGCCCTGCGGTGGGCGGTGAGTGCGCGGGGGGGCGGGGGGCGGCGGGTCCCCGCCGGTTCCTTTCAACAACATGGCGGAGGGGCCGGCTGGGGCGGAGTCACCTCCCCCCACCCCCGGTGTCCGAGCCCGGCGGGGACCGCTCGGCCCTTTGTTGGCCGAGAGCGGCGGCGGCTCCGCGCGAGGGGCGGCGGGGAGGGCTCCCCTCGGCCCCTCGCCCCTGCTGAGCAGCGCTTCGGGCGGTGTCTGCCCTGGCTCACTTTGTACCCCGATGTCTGCCCCGCTGGGTGCGTGTGGCCTTGGCCCGCGAAGGCAACTCAGGTACGTGGAGCTGGCGGAGCTCCCCCGTCTGTCTGTCCGCCAGCCCCTGAGAGCCCCCCCGGTTCCCGGGCGAGGTGCAGCGGCAGGAGCGGCAGCCCCCGGGCCGCTCGCAGCAGTGCCCGGGAGGAGCGGCCGGTGCAGAGACGTGTTGAGTGTCCCACGTCGCGGAGGTGACAAGGGGCTGCCCCCGCTGTGCTGCTGTCGCGGTGGTGGGGGGACAGGTGAACTTCTGGTCCAGCACGCCCTCGCCTGTGTGTTGCGTGAGGATCGAGCCGTGTGGAAGTTAAATCTTTGGGTGAATATTGTACAGTGAAACCGTTGTGTTCCTCCGGTCTCCTGTAGCTGTGTTTTTTTGTGAGAGAGATTTGATATCAGAGCTGTGCTGTTGCAGTGCTGATGCATGAGTGGAGTGCTTAACAGCATTCATAAATGCAAGATTTGGGTAGTTTTCCTTCTTCGTTTTGGTTTTTGTAAATGTTCAGGTTGTTCCACGGTTAGCAGTTTGGCACATATGGACTAATGGATTGTATATTGCTTTGGGTTTTAAAGAGGAAGTGGAGAAGCACCACAACTTTTTCAGTTACAGCTTTGAGACATCCCTCAGTCTGGATCTACACATGCTGTACATAATTCAGTCTAAAATGGTACTCATGCTAGAAAAAATAGTTGCTTAAAGCATCACTTGCTACTAACATGTAATGTTAATCACCCATATTCTTACCGAAGGCGATGTAGAATCTCTGATGTGGAAACAGTGAAATAACAGTTTGAGTTACCTATGGGTTGTTCTTGTATTCTTGAAAAGGTGCAGCAGGCTTTAATAATTTAAAGCTTTCTTACGTAATGCATTCAGTTTAGCTATTGAAGGAAATTTTAGCTCAATTTGAGCTTTGAACTTTTTCCCTTTTAATGCCTCCCATCAATCAACAGTCGTCTCTTAATCTGGGGCATGAAATTAAGGTCTAAAAGCTTTTTGTGAAAAAAAGGCAACAGACTTCCATACAAAACCTTATGGGTGGAAGTGGTGACGTACTACCTTTTGTTTAAAAAAAGTGAAATCTTCTGTGTGCAATGGAATCAGGAGAAATCCAGGGTTCCTGATCCATAACTTATCCAGAGGCCCTGTTATGGGTAAGGCAGTTAATTTGCCTGAACGTTGTGGTCTAAGTTGATAAAGTAATTCAAGGTATGATTTGGCTGCTAGTACCTCTTATTGTGGGTTGACAGAAGTTGGGCATTTTCTGATTGCCTCTGCTGAGGCTGTTCTGCAATGTGCTGATGTTACTGTGTGGGTGAGTTGTCTTGCAACATGGTTTATACGGAGGTCAGGCATGTAATGAATCCCAGCAGCTAGCTGAACAGTAGAGCAGCCTTAATTTTTAAGACAGAGTCTGAAAATAAGCTTTGTGGTTTTCACTGTGTAGGCCGTAGTCTTCAGTCTTCTGAAGTTTGGGGAAGTCACCACTTGGAAACTCTTGTGTTCAGACAGTTGCTTCTAACTGCAAATAAAGATAGCAATCTGATATGGTGCAATAAATTTAAAAGTACAAGTAATGATCTTTCTGTTTTCATAATGCTTGTAAAATTATTATCTGGGCTTTTAATTTTAGCTTTCTTCAGTTAATTTGGTTTTTTTTTAAAGCATATTCTTCTACCAAAGGAGAAACAAATTGTTTCTGTATAATGTTCTAAGAGGCATGAACATATCTGTGGGTAGTGTTTTGGATAGAGGGCAAGAAAACTGAAAGTGCCATTTGGCACCTACATTGCAGGGAATATAATATCACTTTTTTAAAGTTGGGATTTTACACAAGTAGTTTGTCTGTTTTCTTAAGTGCATCACTTTGACAAGACCTGCTGTTTGCAGGAAGGAAGTTTTGCTTAACAAACATGGCTGAAATCTATGTGCAAGTTTTCCTGAAAACTTGATACCCAGTGGTGTTACTTTGCACCAGTGAAACTTAATTAGTGCCTTTGTGAGAAGAATGTGTTAGTGAAGGTCATGAACTATTGTGGTTTGAAAAACTCTACCTATGTCCCAGATATTTTCAGACCTAAACCTTTTTGTATCTTGAGCTAAAAGAGTTCACAGATGAGTCAGGTGTATTGTTTGATGGGATTGTCTGAATTACAGAAGCTGACATTGGCACTAAGTTCTTTCCCTGTCCAATAAAAGTTGCCAAAGGGAAAAAAAAAATCAGTGAGCATTACAGCCCTCTTGCTCATATCCCTAAAAATATGGTTTTGTCTCTTGCACATCACAGCCTTGCTCCTTTATCCCTTGAACCTCTGCATCTTTTGGAACCAAGAACTGTGATTGCTCTTCTGATGAAGTTCTACTTTCTGGTGAAATTTTTGCTTCAAAATTTGTGTTTTCCATGTAGGAATATTTATAATATCACGAGAGAAGTGTCTTTTTCAGCGAAATGTTGCTTTTGGGTGCTGCAGCGATTTGTCTTTTTTAATTTGTGAAGCAAAGACATATATTATTGATGTATTAACAACATGAAATTGTTAATTGCTTGCAGTAAGATGTAAGTTTGAGGTTTTTTAGAGCACCTTACAAATTTTAACTTTGGTACTGCTCCTTGTTAGCATTCTTTCTTTGGAAGCTGATGTCTCAACTTACAATTTCCAACTAAAATTCTTTGGCCTAAGGTGGTGTTCTGCACTAAACTGGTGGAAGTACTGATGCAGGATGTAAACAAATGTTATATAGTTATTCATAGTGTTTTATGTAACTAAAAAAAGTCTTTCTGCAACTTTCTTTCTTCAGAAAGACAACAGATACAAAAATGACTGTTTCAGTGGATAACAGTCTGGCTTTGATATAAATTTGTAAAAGTTTTGTGGTTAGAGTGTACTTAATTCTCTGTTCACATTTTGTATATAGTGTTAATATCTGAGCTCCTGGGAGCTAGCTGATTTTAAGTCTTGTCAAGCTGCATAATTTCAGGGTTTCATTTATGCAGCCAGCTTGCTTTACCCTCACTGGGGGCTTTCCAGACTGCAACATTCATGCAAGAGAGACTTGGTAAAGTAAAGGCAAAACTGTCAAACTCGGAGTCTGAGCAACTACACAAGTAATGGTATTCAACACAAGATGTTAATCTTGTGGTATGAGATATGAGAAATATGCTGTTGATAACTTGTATTACATGATAATGTCATATTGCACACCCCCCCACTTTCACAACAGCATTGTCTCACTGTTTCTTTTAAGGTAGTCAGTCTCAAAAAACAGAAATTACTATGTAGAGTGGTAATAGTGCAGTGACAAAATGCAATGCACAAGGAACTACATTGCTGTGTTGACCCAATTTCTGCTCTTGGCTATGTCCCTGATTGTCTGTATGGCTTCCAGTGCATTTGTTTAGCTGTTTGTACTGTCATTTCCACAACCTTGAATCATTTAAACAAATATGAACTTTCACTAGTTGGTAATGGAGTTTCATGCTGGTTGTTCCATCCAAAAACTCTTATAATAATTAAAAAATAGTTCTCTGCCAGGGACAGACTTGATTGAAAACGTTTTTACTCTTCTTCTTGTGGTAGTAGATTGTTTAAACAGTGTTTACCAAATGCATTGAAATGTGTTTTACCTGAGAGATTACTGGCTCTGGAAGATCAGCTTACATCAGAGTTGTCAGTTTCTCATCCCTTTCTGTTATCATTCAATACTAAAAATGTATGTGTTCATTAAAGTGAGTGTGGAAATCTGTCTGGCTTCTGTCTGAGTTTTTGAAATTACTGTAACATCTCTCTGGGAATAACAGAAACTACTTGGATGAAAAACAAAAAATTCTATCTCCAAGAGGGATTTTTTTTTTCTTTTATATCAGCTATAAGTGAAAACACTTCCTTATAGGAATTGAGTGATTTAACTATAGTTGGTCATTGACACCTCATGCTGGTGTTAAATCTCATCTATGATGTGTTTGTGTAGTTGTAGTTTGTTCTTTGCACACAGATAACTGGAGAATGAGATGTGGGCAAGGATATTCCAGTTCCTTATTTTTGCCTCCTGGTATGGATTGTTGCTGAAGATGCTGAATTACTCTACCTTTTACTAAAACGTGGAAAATCTACCCTTACTTGCTCAAGTTGGAAGGCATGAAGAACTGTTAAGTGGCCAGAGTAGGAAGGGGGCTGAAGCATTTTTAATGAGTTGTTGGGTTGTTTTTTTTAAGAGTGTGTCCACTAGAGAGCAGCAAAAACCTGTATTCCTAGAAGCAGCTGATTAGGCATTGTTTTCCCCTCTTATCGGAGGGGGAGAGTAGCTTCAGAAGGGAGTAGTGATTTATTTAGGCCGAGGAAATCATTCCGATGTAAGTGACAGTGAATTATGTCTTGTCAGGAGACAAGAAGATAGTGGCATCAAACCAGAACAAAAGTGTAAATTTTATTAAATTGCATTAAGTGGGAATTCTGTAGCAAAAGAGAGGTGGGAACAAAGTGAATGAGGAAGATAGGACGCAAAATGCTTTATTTAGTCGTGGTTGGAACGGTGTGTCTCTACAGCTTCGCAAGATGAGAAAGATGAATAAGTGTAACAAGGGCAACCCAAATGTAATTTTTCACTTCAAGTAACTTGGCCTCTGCACAGTAACTTAATGTAAATGTATCTCACTCAATATCTGTCTGTTGCTGTAGGCATTCAGATGCATGTGCAGTTATGGTGAGCCACAATTACCGTCTAAGTAGAAAAAAGTCACAGATTAAGCAAGTGAGATAAAGGTGTGCTCACTTGAAAAGTTGAACTAGTGTGTAAATATTTTTGGAAATTTTTAATGGTTTGGATAGGTTGAAAAATATTTGTTCAGGCATGAATTACCAAAGGGACAGCAACATGAAAATAAATGTTAAATTTTCTTGCAGTTAAACTCGGAATAATAAGATTTTCCTTACTTCCTTGATGAGGCAGGGAAAGATTTGCAAAAAGTGATGCTGTTAAGCTTTACGTTTCTGAACGCCAGTTCTCATTTAATCTACCTTCTGATTATTTTCTTCAATAATCTTCATAGAAAAAAAAAATCAAATCTCATTTGTACGGTTTTCTTCCTCCCTTTTTCTGACTGGTCTGTGTGCCGGTGAATCTCTCTGAAACAAGGTCATCTTTCTATACTGGGTCCTAAGAATTTGATCAGATCTCTTCAGTAACAGTAGAAGATGATTGGCGGTGATATACTTTGATTCAAAATCTTGGGGGAAGGGGGTGTTTTAATAGGATGTTTCTCAGGATTCAAACTTTGAGATTACGTACATAAGTATTTGAGATGAGATTGCCTTAGATTTTACACCCCTCTCTGTCACTGGTTATCATGGATTTAAATAAATGGTAATCCATGTGGTTATATTAAACTTTTGAACTTAGGTGAAATGCCAGATTTCATATTTGGGGGACCTTTTGATTGCCACCTGTTAATCCCCAATCTTTTTGGTGAGCTTTTGTATGTAGCCTTGAAAGAGACTATTTTTATGGCTCAGGACATTTTTTGCTTTTCGATCATAAATGTTGAAGATTTTTAATTTGAGTAAGTTCTGTATTTTAATGTTTCTGTGTGCATGTACACAAGCTCTAGGCCAGCTTTTACTCTTCCCTGTTGAACAGGTGGATCAAGATGTATTGATATTGTTGCTCCTGCACTGTTTTCTGCATAACTTTGGAGCAGGAAGGAGTGCAGAAAGAAATTAGAAGTAGTAGTCTTCCTTCTCCAAGAACTTCTGCAATGTGAAGAATGAAACCTGATCATCATAGAGTGATTAGCCTGCCATTCCTGCTTCCTTCTCCATGCCCTCTTCTTTACTATTGCAATTGATAGCTTTAGTAAATCACCACCTTGAGTAATATAAGAGAGTGTTTTTCTGTGGCTTCATAAATAACAAGTCTAAACCACATTCTGCTTCTGTGAAAGGATCATGCAGAGTTTGGTTTTTAATGAGGATTAAGCTGGTATTTGCCCTTTTGGCACAAAATGGAAACTATCAAGTAATGCATAACATACTAATCTTGGGTAACCAGCAGCATCTGATTTGTCACTTACTCAAGCTGTACCTGTGGTTATTGTCAAAAAAAAAAAGGCATAATTTGTATTTGGTTTGAAAATAGCAGTCTTGCATGCAGTGTTCTTTTGAAAGTCTAGAACTTTTTTGTAGGAGGAACTGTAGTGGTGCTGGAGGAGCAGCTTGGATTTTAGCCTTTGTCTTTTAATACATTATTGTGTAAAGACAGATGACTTCAGATCTAAATTTTACTTTCCTCTGCTCATCTCCCAATTTTGTTGTCCCACTAAAAGGCCTAGTGGAATTGTTGTTTTTTTAGTGTTGCTGTTCTGTGTTTATGTAACCAAAACAGCCTCCTAGCATTCTGAATTTGTATTTCTTTAGTAATTCAAATTGCTTCTCAGCTCAGAACATGTACCAGTACTAACATTAATGTTTTTTTCTCAATGCAGAATTAGAGTGTTACTGCCAGCTATGTACGAAAGACAACTTTACTTGTATGACAGATGGAGTATGTTTTGCCTCGGTAACACGAACTGCAGACAAAATAATGCGCAACAGTATGTGTATAGCAGAAATTGATCTGATTCCCCGAGACAGGCCATTTGTTTGTTCCCCCTCCACCAGAGATGGAGTCCATACTGTGTCTCATTGCTGTAACACACCTCTCTGCAATAAAGTAGAACTTCCAATTCCAACACCAGGTAAGGGGATTGGGATTTTTTCTCTTTTGTTTCTTTTTTTTTATTATTTTTTTCAAACAAAATTCTGTAAGAGTGGAAATGTAGGTAAATTTGAAGGCCTAAAGTACACCTTAGATTCTGTAAAGACAATTTCATGATATTAGAACAAGATTTCTTATCTTCTGGATAGGGATGTTAGGGACAGTTTTGAAGACTTAAATGAAAATTGTAAATAAGCACATTGCTTTTGTCCTTTTCAGTACTTACTTTGATTCTAAAAACAGTTACTGTGCAAAAGCTTTAACAAATGCATTAAAATAATTTGAGTATCACTGTGGAATATTGTAAGTTTAGTAGAATAAAAGGAAATTAATGGTTTTATCATTTTCTTTAACTTTCAGGCCCTAGTCCAGAAAAAACAGCTTCTAACCTAGGACCTGTGGAACTGGCTGCTGTCATTGCTGGACCTGTCTGTTTTGTCTGCATTTCACTGATGTTGATTCTATACCTTTGTCATAATCGTACTGTGATTCATCATCGTGTGCCAAGCGAAGAAGACCCTTCACTGGATCGTCCCTTTATATCAGAAGGAACCACTTTAAAGGATTTAATTTATGATATGACAACTTCAGGTTCTGGGTCAGGTAATGTGACACTTCTAGTAGTAATTACTCTGTGTTTAAGAGCCTTGTAAGACCACTATTTTTTTTAAATATTGTCAAATCTACTTAAACTTCTAATTAACTGGAGAAAATACTAGAAAAGCAACTTCCATGTACATTCAGTCAACATCAGTGAAAATTCAATGTATAGAAATAAGTGAAGAATAAGAATCACTGAATTGTTGCTGCCCTTCCTTATCATTCTCAAAGTAGCCTGATTTATATAAATTATATAATTCAGGGAATATCGCAGTCATCTATTGTAAACATTGTGTTCTGTAGGGCTGTCATTTACCTTTTTTGTTCTGTTCTATCTAAACAACCATCTTCTGTGGTTTTTAGATAATTTTGTAAAGAGTATTCTTTAGCTTTAAATTGAAAAAAAATTGTAGCTATTGATGTATGAAGAATATTCTGAGTTAATATTTTACCAGTTCTTTCCTTACAGAAGATATTTTTCAATTGCAAATAGCATTTCTGTATATAGAATGGATGTGATATGCAGACCGTGTCTGTCCCTTAATTTTGTGTTTTTTTTGTTTTAATTGTGACTTGAAGAGATGTTGCTCTGGGAAGATGAGGCATTAGACTGTTCACTGCATAGAGTTTCAGCTATTGTAACTCTGACCATTAATTGCGTATAGGATTATGGTGGTCTGTGTCATAGAAATGTAGTTTAATAGGTGTTGTTAGGGATGATGTGCCAGGTAAATCATTGCATAAATTAATTGATCTTTGGTCAGTGTTAGGAGGGGAGACATCAAATTGTGTACTGCAACCTTTTACCAACCTTCTACTGTATAAAATTTAAATAATTTAATATTGAAAATAGTTCCTACTACTTGCTAATGTACGTGTTAAAATATCCATGCCCTTTCAGAACACTTTCTACAAAGAAAGACTGGTGTTTGATTCTCAACTGCTGTGTCTTTTTTTTCCCCAGAACTAGAAAAAATTTAAACAACAAAACCCAAGCATCTAGGTTGTTTTTCTTTTCCAAAGACTGGTAAAACTATTCAGAGTCCATTGCTTTGTCAATAAAATTAATGTAACTTGCTGAATATGTTTAAAATCTAGATCAAAAATTCATTTTAGTGATGTCTTTTCTAAAGAATGTGAGTTTGCACTAGGTGTGTAGGTTGTTATGTTTCAGCTGAGAAAGCTTTTGTGTGTTCAATAAGATTTGATCCTGATAAAGGTAAGTTGTTCTCTGGTTAGGACTGGAGTTTTAGTAATTTGTGTTCATATCAATTTTCTCATTTACTAACAGGAGTAACTAAGTCAGATGATGAAAGTGGTTCCTAGAACTTCCAATATATTGGGCTAGAGCTTGATAAATGCAAATGCTGGGCTTAGGTCTCCATTATGTTTGTTCTAGGAGGGATATGCAGTAGTCACAGATATAGATAATATAGAGGAGTCGGAGATTTACATATCATGGAATCCAGAAAGGTTTGATATATAACTGTTACACTATTAGAAGTGTAACACTCTCTACTTACTGACTGCAAATCTAGACTTTTCCCAAGGAAGGCTGAAAAAAATTTCTAATTAAAATTCAAACTTAGTTGTTAATTGGTCTTTTCATTCATTATCAAGAACAATCCTCTGGGTTTTATACTGGCCTTCTTACCTGTAGTGATTCCAAACCCCTCTTTTTGTTTGAGAGCTCTGGAAGTACTCCGTCAGATTAAGCTCTTGAAAAGCAGAGAATCCAAGTTGAAAGAAACTTATGATTATTCCTCTGGAGCACATGGGCTAGAAACTACTGAACCTTCCCTTGCCTATTTGCAAATTACTCTTTGAGTAAAAGGAGCATGCTAGGGAATTGCTAAGCTTTCACAGCTGAATTCAGGGCACTCAGGCTGGTCTAGATTCCCAGAGCACCTGCCCTACTATGGTATTTGAGCATTGGCTAATGGTGGATGCATCCAAGGAGCAAAACCAACAAATGTGGTTGAATTTGACTTATCCCTAAGGGAGCCTCTTCACTAATTTGCTTTTATGCTTGAAAGGCTGTAAAACAAGGCTGAATGTTTCCTTAAAAGGAATCTTTTAACTTCAGCTGCAGTGAGTTCCATGTTGTTGAGCTATTTGTAAGACCGGTCTTAATCTCATTTAGTTTTCTCTACTTTACTTTGATTATGACAGTGAAATAGGAGATGCTCCAGGTTCTTACTTTCTGTAACATTGGCATTGTTTGTATTTGCAATAACTTGTGTCACTTTGTCTCAAAATCAGTCAATCAATGACTACAAATTCACAGTGCCCTAGAACTTGAATTGATAACTTTTGTGTGTCCTGAAATATGTCTGCAGCATTTGAATCTCATTTAAATGTGTATTTTTATCCAGACTTTGGGTACAGCACATTTAAAGTTGAGAAGACTGTACCTTTATGGAATAAACTGGGAGTAGGGAAAAGGGTCTCCAAAGGGAGAAAAGTCAGAACTGCTAGTTAAAACAGTGCTTATCCCTGTCAGAAACTGAACTGACTGAAAGGGATTATGTTGGGACAAGAGGTTGCCAAAACACAATAGAAATGTACAAAACAGGCAAAATAATCCAGACCCAAGAGGCACAGCTAAGGAAATGTTTCGTTTGGTGACACAAAAGCCATGTTCCCTTCTTAAATTCATGCTGAAAGACCAGAAAAGCTCATAGTAAAATAAAAAAGATGCTACCAATTTTGTTAATTCAGTATTCTCTGATGAGAAGTGTATAAAACAGAGAAATAATGAGAACTCTAAAAATGACCTTCCTATTCATACCAAAAGGGAGTAGGATTCATTTGTTGTAATGATGCTAAAGCTGCTATTAATTATTCGGTCTTGACTTAACATTAGTGTTGCCATGTTGTTCCATGATGAACAAGACCTGAAATAAGGAGATACACCATGGAAGGAATTAATGAAACATCTGAAATAGACCCTTCTGGCAAAGCTACAGCTTCTAAGAGAAGGATTTCAAAGCCTCTTGGAGCTGAGAATGATTTTCAGATCATGATGCAGATCTCTAAATATCAACTACATATTGAATAGACAGATGGGGACGCCCATCTGTTACTGTCTTAACTCACAAATGACGAAGTCACTTAGTTACAAAGGAGTAGGAAGAATTGCCAATAATGAGGAGAAGCTTTGCATGGTATTGGTAGGCGACTTCCAGCAGGAACTTAAGCTATTTAGAACTCTAAAGGGTCACAGAAATCAATGCAAAGTTGAGTCAGTTGAAGTGAATATAAAGCTCCTTAAAAACTATTTTGCAATTAATACAAGCTTGAAGGGAATAAGATTTTTCACAGTTCATGGAATGTTGGGGTTTTTTTATTACTCATCAGAGGAAGTCTTCTGTGTAGAGACTTATGAACAAGAACAAAATTCTAGCCCCTACTTTTGTTGGCTACCTGTAGTGCTCTAGAACTTACTTCGTTCATTATCCAATTTAGTTACAAACTTCTTATGCATTAGAAAGTCGCTGCACTAATCAGAGTACTCTTAATATATGGAAAAGAAAATGAACTTTCTCTTTTTGTTAGACATTCAGAAGGATTGAGGGTACTTTATGATATAAGAAAATGATAATGAAGGTTTCAGGAATAAGTCGGATGACCATGGTGTCAAGGATGACCTAAATACAAGGTGTCAGACACTGAGCTGCTGTTGAATTTAATATGGGCTCAAATTTTCTTGTTCTCCTGATTGGCACACTGGCTATCATCTTTCTTCATGCACAGTTAAAAGAAGGTGTATCCAAGAGGTTGGAGTACAGTTATGCCCAATGTGTGTGTGAAAGGTTGAGGCTGTAGCTGTCTGCTGTGATATGTTTTTCAGGCAGTCTGGTTTACAGTACAGCACTTGCTCAAGCTCCTGGTGATACAGGGCTGTGTATCTTCTATAGCAAAATGAGGAAATTGCTCAGTTACAACAGAGTCTGTAATGAATTGCTATGAATGCAAGATAAATATGGAATCCAGTCTTCTTAGAAGAAGCAGTAGTAAGGGCAAGATTAGCTTCAGATAAATAGAAGCAAGTTGAATCTTATAAATATTGTAAAAATAAATATAGGAGTAAGTGGATAGATCACAGTAGGGTTTTTATCCTACTGTATTAACGTGCTGAATGGGAATTTGTAATGTGAAATTGAAATGCATTCTGTCTAGAAGGTTTAGAGGTTAGTATATGTTTAGCTGATATCCTTGGACATATATGTTAAATAAGGAGGGATGTCTGTAAAAAGTGGAGCAAGTTAAGTAGTGCATCTGAAAGTGGGAAAACAAACAGTTTTCTGATACAACTGTATGGCCTATCACCCATTTCAGGTACACAAAATCAGCTTGTATTTGACATATGCGTATAGATTTTGCGGTAGTGCATAAATTCTAAGGAAGAAACTTTCTCTGACCAATCAAGTAAAATTTTACATTTTGAGGGTTTAGTTTGATCCTGTGATTGTTTTTGTGTGGCCTCTTCTGCATTTCAGAAGTCTCTTCATAAGGAATGAAGGTTAGGCTTTTCAGAAGAGCCTCTATAGTTTGGGCAGGCAGCACAATTCACCTGAGGACTATTACAGCAAAAGTTTATCTTTCTCAATAAAAATTATTACAACACCTGACAATGATTAAATTGCTGGTATGGTATACATTTTTTTTCTTTCCTGTCTTCACGTAGGTATGTTGTCAGCATAGACCATGCAGAAAATTCCTGTCGGTCTAAAATTTTTGAGAAGCTGTTCTGAACACTGCAGTGTTTTAATTTGCACTTCTCAGACTGAGACGCAAGCGTGGCGATGCTGCCAACCAGATCAGATGTCCTTCTAGTGCTGCTGTTAGCAAAAACTATCCAAAGGTGGACAAGAATGAATTATCTGAGCTATTAGTTGGGATTTATTTTTTATAACATAAGGAAATGCAGGTTTCTGTCAGATACTGGAACAGTGATTATAGAATAACAGATTACTTTGTCAAGTATTTGGTTAAAGTGAAATAATCCTGTACCAGAAGAGCTTATCTTAAGCAGATAACCTGGCTGATGTTTTCATCCTGCAGTGTGGTATCAGTGTAGAAGTGACAAGCCCTGCAGTTACAACAGGAAAGATTTAAAATTTTAAAAAAACCCAGCCTGGTTAAAGGGATGCCAGTGCTGCTTGTTGTATAAAACTACTGAAGTGTACTGAAGAGGTACTCTATATTGAAAGCATGTAAATGATCCAAAGCTGATAAAACCCTGATGAATGTAAACATTTCTCTAAATTATAATTACAGTGGGATGCAGAAGAATGGCCTGTAAAGTGGAAAGCTTGTATTACAAGGATGTTTTCCTATTTTGCAGTAACTCAGGATTATTATGATGCTTGGCACACTTGGGCATGAGTGGATTTTCACCAGTTGGTGTTGCTGATAAGTGTGTTTTAACTAACTTAGAAATAGACTCACTAGTGATAAGCCAAGTCAATTAACCAGTAGCAAAAGTGCTCTTAAATTGCTTTGCCAGGAGAGGTATGGGCAGATTCTTTTTCCAAAAATAAAGGAAAAAAACCTCACTTTAATCACTAACAAGCAACCCAAAAAAACCCCTAAACCTGGGTTTAATCCTGACTGCCTCATCATTACTTCTTTTTTGCATTTAAATAAAACTTTAAGTCTCAGCAAGTGACAGGATTCCTAACTGAAAGAAGGTTTGTGTTGTGCTTTTGACAACCATAGAAGTAGTTTGTAGCATAATCTCCATGACTGCTTGTTAGCTGACCTTTTAAGGGTGAAGGCAGAATCTTACCTATGTGTTGCTAGCAGTCCTCAACAAGCAGTTAAAATCTTAAGAGTATGTTCATTCTATGAGAAATACTTTAATAGAAATAGGATCTTGTATTCAGTGTGTGGGATAAGTACTAATTCTGTAAAGTGATATTTAAGGTAAATGTAAAACCTTCTTTTTAGGTTTACCTTTACTTGTGCAAAGAACAATCGCAAGAACTATAGTACTTCAAGAAAGCATTGGTAAGGGTCGCTTTGGAGAAGTCTGGCGGGGGAAGTGGAGAGGAGAAGAAGTTGCTGTGAAGATTTTCTCTTCAAGAGAGGAACGGTCATGGTTTCGAGAAGCAGAAATTTATCAGACAGTTATGCTACGCCATGAAAACATTCTTGGATTTATAGCTGCAGACAACAAAGGTTAGTGACACTATGAATTCATTTTCCTGATTGTGCATCTGTCAGAATAGACAGTGCATGAAGGGAAAAAATGCTGTGAGGATCCATTTAACAGTAGATAAAAATAGTTTTGTTACTGCAGGAGTTCAGGGTTTGGCATACTTTTCATAGGTTTAATGAAGGAAAAAGTACATTGTCTCTTATTTTGGAAGAATATGCTTTGTTTAAATTTGTGTAAAATGCTTTGGTATCAAAAAGGAAATGCCTTATCCTGTGAGCCCACACATCTGATGAATACTTGTACCTGTCGTTACCTCATAGCCTAATAATATATATGTGTGGGACTGAAAGAGATCATGTCTCATCCTGTTGTCCTCATAAAGTAGGAGGTAGAAGATTTATTCTTAAGGCTGAGTTATAACATGTTATTATTTAGAAGTCTGATTAGAAAATCTATTGCAAAAATGGAATTCATTATTTGTTTCTAGTAGTAAAAAAATATACCTGCTTCCTGAAGCTCTCCTGATAAGCCTTTAATCATCCAGTTAGAGGAACCATTTTTTCAATTTTGATTTGCTGTGATTTTGGACAGATTAAAGTTTCTTGGATTTTCCGTCAATTCCAGTAAAGAATCTGACAAAACCCAGGTTTTGAGTTTTTCATTAAGAGGAGCTAAGATATTAAGATGCTGTTTCATTCAGTTATTGTCATCTGAAATTGCATGTTTCACCACAAATGCCATTTGACTTTTTTGTGAAGAAAGCATTAACAGAAAATTCTGTCACATTAGGGGGGAGTCAATAATTCACATGCATGCTGAATTTTTAAAAGGCTCTCAGTTTTGTGGGAAGTTCCTAAATGGTTTTAGTGAGGGTCAAATATATGTGTAAAGTGCTTATTAATTACCGTTAGATGAATTTCAAGTTTCTATACAAATTTGTAGAATAGAAAGAGAATCCAAGAGATTGTGCAGAACACTTCTCCAGGAAAGGGTTATCTAAGTTAACTTGCTCCTAACAGATATTTGTGCAACTTTTTATCCTCCAAGAGCTTGCAGATCAACACCATACCAGGCAACTTTTTCCTGCAGCTTACTATGCTTACCATGAGAAACTGTCTTGTTTTCATGCCTAGAGTTGTATTTGGTATTGTCATCACCTGGAATAGCTTGAGTTTGCTCTGATTGGCCTAGGGGAGTGAGTATCTGGAGCCTGGGTTTAAAATTAGATCAGCTGCATTAAAGCCATAAATGAAGAGCTATCTCTGCAAAAGCTTTAGCTTCTATTTCTCATTTAAAAGCATAATGGATATATTGCAATATCATGGTTGTAACTTTTCACAAAATCATCTGTAAGTATACCAGTGTCTCATTTTGCCTGAAACCTCCAGGTAGTTTGTCCCAATAATACATTTGACTGCTGTGAAGAGGCGGTATGAGGAAGGTTTCCTAAATGGGTGGGTTTTTAAAATAATTTCTTCTTTGCTGGTTTGTGTTGCAGATGCTATAGCATTTGACTTGGTCATCTTTAGTTTCCTTGTAATATGACACAATGTGATATGAAATAGTTTGTTTTTTCTGTTAATATGCTTTACACACAAAGAAGGAATCCTTAACTGATAGGTCACGGCATTATTTGGGGTTTTAGATCTTCAGGGTAAGGCTCTTGTATTTTATTGAGATCTAGTTGGTATCTGGTTTTTGAAAAATAGATAAAAATGTGCTTTGAAAATGCCACTGTTCTTGACTGTGTTTTCTAACAGTATTGCTGTCTGAGCAGATGCAGAAATCCATGTTGTTTTTAACCCATCAGTGCAGAATTAATTCATAGTACAACCTTCTACATTCTCTCAGTGAGGAGATACATACACACAATTTGCTTCCTGGGCTAAGAATTCAGTCCTGAATATTGAAGGAGGTTAATATTTCAATTCTTGTTTAGAATACTTCAGGCCACCCGTATCCCATTAAATGAGAGAACATAGAGGGACCATTATGGCAGTAGTTCTCCCTGTTTAGCAGGTGCTCTATCATGGTACTCCAAAAGAAGGCGTATCACAGCATGGCTTTAGAGAACAATGGCTTAAGAGCACCAAAGCGTTCCAGTGGCTTAAGGAACAGTCCTTCATTGTAGATGCTGGTGCTGATTGATGAATGTTTAGGTGGTGCCAGGTACAAGAGTATGTATTCGTTCACAGCAGTAATGTCTGTGGAGGGTTTGCATCCATTTCTCTGTAGGGTTGACTTTTGAATGTATTCAGGAGTTACTACAGCCTAGCTGGAATGCACAAAGTCATTAGACTGCAGGAATCTATGTGTCTAAGGTACTGCAAAGATAACTGCAGAGATACAGGAGTACTAGTAATTTCAAAATTAGCAAAGGACTAGTAAAAGAGCTGTAGAACCAAGGCATGCTTCAGTTCTTGCTGCTGCTGAAGGCATTAATAAGATCTTTACTCTTACCTCAACTGCAGTTTTTCACAACTGCTGAGCAACATCTGGCAGGCTATTTAGTGTAAAATTGGTGGAAGAGGTTCCTTCGGGTAGGAGGGTGTGTTTAGAGCTTGTGACTGAACGGCTGTTTTCACTCCTTTCTGTCCGTGTGCCTTAATGGCACGTTCTTCTGTTCTGTTTCCCCAGACCTGTGTCATGTTCAGAAGGCTACAGGACCTGGTCTGCTTCCCATCCTGTAATCTACTGGGAAATAGGTGCTATAGTTAAGACAGCTTGAGGGCTGAGAAGCAATGAATGATTTTAACTGCAGTTGTGGTATGCCTGACAAGCTCTTCTGTGTTCTGGGTAGCTCTTTGCGTAGTGAGTATGTGCTAAATTCCAAATTCTTCTAGGTCAGGGAAGTTACTTTCAGGGCCATGTGTTGTCTTGTTTTGTACCATCTAAACACACAGTTTGTTTTGAGCGTGGTTTTTTGTGTTGTTCTTTCTAACCCACTTACTTGAAGGTAGAGTGTATAGGGACTACTTAACTGTACTGTTCTAGTAGCAAAAGAGTAGTGTCAGGAACCACAGTTCACAGGTTTCTCTGCATTAGCTGGCTGTAATCTTAACTGTCTGTAGGCAGATTAAAATAAGGTGAAGTCTTGCACTGCGCACTTCCAGATAACTTCATGCACTAAAATACCTTGATTTCTCCATTTCTTCCCCTTAACTGGAAGCGCACTCCCCAGTATGATAGTTTGGTTCAGTCAGAACACCTTTCATGGTAAGTAGATCCTCAAAAGTGATGTTAAACAATATGCTACAAAGAAATGAGCAGAATTCCTGACTCTTGAGAAGTAATATTTCAGCCATTTGTTCATTTTGAAGCTCTGGCTTTAGCCTGAGAAGAAGGAATCTGTACAGCTCAAGTGCTTTTCATCATTGGGTCAGATGACTATGTCAACATGATAAAGTCAAGCTGTTAATGCTAACAAGACACCAGTCATGCTCTAGTCCACTGACAAAAGTGCTATGTCCGTGAATATCTCATTTCTAAGAGATTTCTCGTTGGAGACACCATCTGAATCTGTTCTTTTCACCGCGTTTTCCTGGGGTTTTTTCCGTGATATTACATTATCTATGTGCCAAAAAAGCTAAATATCTGCTTTGAAATACTTTGCTACATAGCACCACATAAAGCATTTTTGTTTTGCTAGTGTTGATGTGAAAAAAACAAACATTTTTCACTTAAGTGATTCCAGTCAGTTGAATTTTAATTGAAACTTGATTATGTGATATAGCAATTGTATAAATTCCTTTCTTCATGAGTCAGCTCTACTAAGACAGATTTTGCTTGAGCATTAGTAATGTTTTTCCCAATTACAGACCTGTAATCAGTCTCCTGACAACAAATCTGAAAGCTTCTTTTCTCAGAATTTCAATATTTATTTGGAGTTAAAAATTAAAATCTTTTACTTGAGTGTTCTTGGTGATACAAAGTGCTTTCAGGTGTCTTGAAATAACCATAATTAATCTCTTAAATATGTTTCCAATAACACTATAAACTTTTTGTAAATTTTGAATATTCTGAAATTGTGATTCTTGATCATTGTGAGTGCATAAACTAAATTAGATTACCTAATCATGGAAAGCTGAGCTAATGTATGTAATTACTATTGAGTGTAATTACTTCTTCCTACCTGATAATGCAAATCCTGTGATTGAAAGCCTCATGGTAGATGCTTCACTCTGCAGCTGAAAATACTCAGGTATTTTACGGGTCCGGTTAATTATTACTCGGTAATAATCAACTACTGTCAACAGAATGAGAAGACTTAAGTTTATTGTAGCGTGTTCTGCTTAGAGTGCTAAACAAATGTATGATTTGTGAAATGTGGCAAGGAAAACATAGTAGGTCCCTTCTGATAGCTGGACACTGGACCTATTGCTGCATTTCAGCTTGCCTGTAATTATTAATATAATTGGTTTTGATGTAGCACTGTCCCTTCTTAAAATCTCATTGAAGGGTCACAAATATGACACATAATAGGAAAGAATCATGGTTCTTCTCAGACTGGATGGTAAGCCCAGCTTATATTTCTTCTTTGGAAGGAAGGTAGAGCTTGATTATGAAAACTTGCAGGTAATACACAAGATAAAGCTGAATAGAAGAGTCTGTAACCAGCAGCATATTCCCTTCTTAGGAGGAAATGTAGCATTAAGAAGGGAGGAACTTTATGCAAAGGCACCATAGTCTTGAATCAAAGCTGTGATAATTCTTCAGAAACTGACATCTTTTATAGAGCGGTTTTAAACACAGTAGGTCTGGTAGTACAGTCTGTCTAGTACAGACACCTGCTGAGGTATGCCACTCCTAAGAAACAGGAGAAGAAATAAAATAAAGGACCAAGTAATGAGTGTGTATGATGGTAATGCCCAGGAGAGGATTATTTCAGGCAATGTAGGGTCATAACTGATGAAGCAGTAGAATAAAACTGAGTGAAGAAAATATTCTCGCGTGATAAGGTTAGTTTACTTGGAGTTTGTGCAGCTCTTTGTGTATTTAAGAGCATCTTTTCTGTGCCTGTGAACTCATACCTGTTTCTAATGGTTCTGTGAGACTAGTTTAGTGAAGCCAATACTGTTGGATTGATTCCTCAGAGACCCTAATTCTCTTAGGAGACAGTAATTTAGTACTATACTGAGTTCTATGAGTTTGTGCTTGGGTATTGCCAAGTAGCAAGAAATGCAGCAGTTCTAACTAGAAAATAATTGAAGATATTTTTTTTAAAAAATATTTAATTTCCTTATTCCTTTAAAAAAACCCCCAAAAACGTAGGCATCCCTTGTGTGGACGTAAAAGACTCTTCCTGCAGCAGTAGTAGCATTTTACTAATTTTATACAGGTTGGAGTATGTGACTGATTTTTTTTTTTTTTTTTGCCTGTTTAAACAATTTAATTGAGACTATTCTGTAAATGTAGCAAGTCAGAGTTCTCTTTCCATTATGGGAATTGTTTGAATATGTATTAGCCTTTTTCCTACCCTGAAGTATTTGGAGGCCTTTTCATTTTCATAGGTTTTTTGATTTTTCTTTTATTTTTAAATTTTTTTAATGGCATCACTGACTTCCCTAAAAACATCCAAATAAAAGGGATGTTTACAAGTTTGCCCACTCCCACCAAAGTGTTAAGTTAAAGATAAGCACAAGTGTTTCTATAAAGGTAGTTTCTGTCAATCTGTAGAGCAGGCGTGTTGTGCTTCTGGCTTTCTTGGACAAGTGTGTTCTTTGCAAAGTAAAAATTTTTCAGTATGTTTGCAATAGGAAGTTCCGAACTTCTTTACCTTTTTCATGTTCTTCATATTCCTGAGCCATCTTTAGGGACTATCACATAATGAGACATCTTTTTGACTTGTGCTGTGTGTTCTCTCTTGTTCTGAGGGAACAGGGGCTATATAATTCCGGCTAGGAGTCCAACAGATGTCTTTTATGGGATAACTGCTCTTCTAAAGAGATGAAAGATTGTTCTGTAAAACTAGCTGGCTAGGAAAACACTTTTCAAGTCTGCCACAGAAGAGGTGCTTTTATAACACAGCAAAATTGGAAAACCCATTCAGTGGCAGGATTGTTGTTTCCTAGATGTATTTCTGCTTCTTAGGTAAAAAATACTTTTGCTCCTCTCTTGATTTGAATTCCTTTGATAGTCTTCTTTCTGTGGCTTAAACTTAAAGGTATTTTGTGTCACTGCTTTAGTAATGTGAACAATTAAGTTCTTATATGTCATTTGCCTTGGGATAGCTACAAATGTATTGTGGCTCGTCTTGTTTGTCATAGTTCAATCAAAAGTCATATAGCCAACTGATTTCCTCAGTGGTTTTTTTTTGCTTTCTTTACCCTTGTGCCCCCTGGAAACCTCCATTTTGGCCAGCAATTTAGAGGTCATCAGAGGTGGGATTAATTTTGTGTCTGATTGCTGCTTGTAAGCTTCTATTCTGGGAGGAAAAATCCACTGTGGGAATTGTCTCTGAAGCTGATAGGTTATGGGAAGACTGAAGGAGTTGGGGGAAAAAGTTTGAAATGCTGCTTTTTTTTTTTATGATCAGCATGGACAATATTGTGCTGGGATTATTTCTGTATCATGCATTCAGCACTGTTCCCTGTGCCCCACTCTAGTAGGAAACCTAGGGAAAGGCAAGGCCTGGCTAATACCCTGAGCAGTTCACCCTGAACGTAGACCTCAGAATTATAGAGACATCAGTTTTTTATGGTTTGTGTTTTAATTTAGCTACAATAGTCACTAAACTTTTCAGAAACTCTCCCATGGCATTGTCAGCCTTTGCAGAGGCGTTAGAATGTCAAAGGAATAGAAGAGCTTAATAGTAGGAGTCTAATTTACAGAGGTTATTTGCCGACCATAATTTGTACTTCATAAGCGTTGTATAGAAGTGGAACCTATTGTTTATTTGTTTATTTGTTTTGTATGTGTGGTATTCATGCCAGTTTTATTTTGCAGACAATGGTACATGGACTCAGCTGTGGTTAGTGTCAGACTATCACGAGCATGGATCACTCTTTGATTACCTGAACAGGTATACAGTAACAGTGGAAGGAATGATAAAATTAGCTTTGTCCACTGCCAGTGGTCTTGCTCATCTGCACATGGAAATTGTTGGCACACAAGGTAATCTTACAATTATTCTGCTTGTCATGTGGTTAATACTGGTTGGTTTTTTGGGTTTTTTTAATGACACATAAGTAGCTTATTCTACTTTGTGATGTTTTCCAAATTCACAAAACTTTTTAATTTGAAAGGCTTTTTGCCTTCTTTTCTTTGGAATTGGTATTGTGATGTAACAATCCTTCCTACAAAATACCTGTTAAAAGACACCAAGTGATGGTACACGTAGCACCTTCTTAACTTTGAGTTGAGACAATGTTTGAGTAGGATGTGTGTGCAATAAATACTTGCAGGAAGAGGGAAATGAGCAAATGTGGTGTGATACAGTAAACATGAAAGGCATTTTCCTGAACAGCCAGACAATCTACAATGAATGATTTCAGGGGGTACCCTGATGCACATAAAGTGTCAGAACCAGAAGGAATTTTGTTCCTTCAAACAGAAGTTTGCTCCAGACTTAGAATAAAAGGAGCTTGGCTTGGGTTTTTTTTACAACTTCTATTTTTTTTCCCTTACAGGCAAACCAGCGATTGCCCACAGAGATTTAAAATCTAAAAACATATTGGTGAAAAAGAATGGAACATGCTGCATTGCAGACCTGGGATTGGCAGTTAGGCACGATTCAGCTACAGACACAATTGACATTGCCCCAAACCACAGAGTGGGAACAAAAAGGTAAAATCATTTATGTGATGTGTCAGGCAACTTCTGTAATAAAATGCTTTGGTTTTTCTTGTCCCATATAAATTTATGTAGAAAATATAAGTAGCAGGAAAATGTAATGCCATATAGAGTTCTTAGGCACTTCTTTGTCATCTGGTATTTTGGTTAGATGGTAGACACACAGAAAGCACGTTCAGTGTTGGCTGGTGTTAAATGCTGGAAACTTGCTAAGTATTGTAGGGGACAAATATTAATTAAAACACTTAAGAGACTTCATGACTGATGATTTTAGAGACTTGAGTGCTCTCTTTCTTCTTCTTGCCATGTATTTCATGGAAATGGTACTTGCAGCCCAGTCAGAAGTGTAAAACAGGGTATTGATAGTGACAGTAAAAACCTGTGATTGTCACTGTGAAGCCTGTGTGGAAGAACATATAAAGTGCAGAGTCTTGGACACAGGACTGTCTTGGAATCACATTTTTAAAAGAAATGCAAGAAGTTAAAACAGTCATCTTTGTCATCTAATGCATAAATAGAATCTTAAGTGGATGAGTCAATATAGTCTCTTAAAAGCTTTTTCTGAATTAGGAAATAAAGGTTTTTCTTGCCTCAGAAGAATTCAGAACCGTTTAACTGAGTCAGCACAAGTGCAATAAAACTTACTGTCAGTAATTTATCATTGGTGAACCTTCAGGCAATAGTAACTGGAAGCTATAAACAAATTATCCTTAGTAATCCATGCAGCTATACAGCATAGAGATAGCACTAACAGTGAAGTGCATTTTGGAAGTGGGCAACTTTTCATTCTTCTGATGCCTATAGGTTCAGTGCTATGTCAAACTGGAGTTTGGACACTGCTCATAGAGAAATGTGTGACAGCTAAGCCCATATGGCTTAGCAGTGTTGGAGAAAATTATGTTGATGTTGTCCAATCTCCAATTTTTATATCAAAACCACTTTTTTTTTTCTATATCCCTTTAGTAAGTGATACTGTGGGGTGGGGGGTTGATTGGGATTTTACTGTGAACTAGGATGCTCCTTGAGCAGTGTCTTATTGGAAGGGAGAAAAACCTTAAACATTATTTTAAGGCTCAGTTAACTAAAGCTTTTAGAAAATGTACTGAAAATTTGTTTTACTGACACATACACTGTTGAAGTTACTTTGTTCTAAAGCTCTGCTGTACTAGTCCTTTGCCAATTTTTAAAATGCGGCACAAATGGTCAGATAAGATTTATTTTCTGAACTATTTCTAAATTATAAGAAACTGAGTATTTTTCCTTCTCCAAGTGTCTAGTAACAGGATTATTTCAGAATTCATCGTTGCAAATTTAGCTGCATGGAGGGCGCACGCCACGTGTGATTTTGAATTTTCTACTACACCTACATGCAAAGGCAAATGATGTACAAATCAGTTACTTTCTTTAGTCTAGTCACTGGAGAAAGCATCCTTTCAGCTGTGTTTGCAGATCCCACTTACCAGATCTTTACTTGCATAAGCATTATTAAATTGCTTGTTCATCTGCCTTATGCTTCTTCACAAGGCTAAAGCTGTAGCAACTCTTGCTTGCTGTAGTGGGCAAAAGGAGAGCTAAATCTGTTTCCCCTTTTAAAGACAGTAGTCATTTCTACCTCTCTGAAAATTGCTCATTCTTGTAAAAGGCTTAGACCCTTCTTCTTCCTCTTGTGCATTCTTAGGTAAGTAACTCTGCACCTCTGATTAATTTTTCATACTATAGGTCAAGTCTTACCTGTTGAGTGACATTTTTAACCCCGCTGATTGCCACTGCTGGTACTTCTTCTGTACATGGGAGCTTTGTGTACAAGTTCAGGGAGGTTTGATGAAGTCTGTATGTTTTTCTAATGATTGTTGTAAAAAATGTATGTCTAGAGAGCAAGCAGACTTACTCTTGTGTGAGTGATCAGGGTGTTGAGTCAAACTGATGATCCCTCTTTCTGACTGAATTTTCTGACTTTATTTCTTTTCTGTTCTGAGGCTTAGCTTTACCAGAGGGGTGAACTGTGTGCTTTCACAGCTCAGCCTGCTACATAAAGCAGGGAATGTGAGCTTTAAACTGAGAAGGAAATAGAATCTCTCACTCCCTGAGGCAAGTAAAATACCCTCATTCTCCTCTTATTTGTTTAGAAGTGTGGCCCAGCTGTTACTTTTGATAGTTCAAATAGATTGTGTTTTAAAAGAAGTTTGGCAACAAATTCTTACCACAGTGCTTCTCAGAAGTTTACTTAAACAAAATATGGGCAAAATTCTACCTTGTAGAGTATAGGCTTTATGAAAGGAGATGCCACACATCATTTTGTGTATGGGTCTAGTTGATGACACAAAGCTCCCTATATGTTGTACAAGAAATTTAGACAACTAGTACTGAGCTTTTGGACTGGAAGAGATGGAAGAAAGAGGTCAGCAGACACCCAAAGTTTAGCAAGACCATGCTGAACATACTTCATACCCTTCTTTGTAGACTTATCCTTTTATTTTTGGATGATATTGAGCTGCAGGCCTTGCTCAGAAGGTCAGAGTTGCTCTGTGAAATAGAATTGTTCTCTGCAGAGCCTAAGATACTGCTTCTGCCAGGCAATGCATTTCCAACACATAAGCTGACAAGGAAATGCCTACTTCTCTCCCTTTTGTGTAACAGCCATGAAATGGCTGAGCTGCTGACCTCACTACACCACCTCCTTGCCTTTCACCTTTCTTCTTCCAGCAATAATCTTTCAGCAGTCATTCACCATTCTGTGTCATAGAAGCCAAAGCCAATCTAAATGCATTGATGGAGGACCATGGTAAGAGGTCGGTTTGCCAATGGAAGCCACGTGGGGAGGGATTTTTTTGCCACATTAAGGCCCCCTGTGGTCTTTCCTGTTAAAAACCTTGCTCTTTGTCTTGACTTCCGTGAACCATTCAATCTCCTTTACTGCTTGTTTAACATTTCTGGCTGACATCTTGCACCATGGTTGGGCTTTCTAGTTGTTTTTTCAGGTCCATCACTCTTTTCATCCTCGTGGCATCTTAAGATAGAGCAAATATTCTTTTTTCTGGGCTCCAAGATAATCACTTACAGTGTCAAGCACATGAAGTACCATAAGAGTATCCCACAATTGAGAATCCGTAGACAGTATTAAAGTATTCACCATAATCTTCCATTCTTGATTAAAACATCTTTGATATGAGTGGACCAGAACAATTTGAGCCTTGTCGATATCAAATACTTAATACTCCACTTCTATTCAAAGTTAAACCTTACATTGAACTTCAGACATTTCCCTCTGCTTGTGGTGTTCATTACTTGTGAGGAATTTGTATGCCTTAGAGGAACTCTCATCTTAGCAGACTTTGTTGAAGTTCTGGGTAGTTCAGAACAAATGCAACCATTTGTTGCGTTTTTTTATGTATGTTGCTTCCTTGTATCTATTTAATTTCTGTAAGAATTTCTGTAGTACTGAGAGAGTCCTGAAATTTCTTTTAAGGAGTGTGTCTTGCATTCTGCCTACCATCCCTGGTACTGGAAAAGAAGATCCTACAGTGCTGTTGATTAAATTAAACCATGTCTAGGCTTCTATGGCTGTTCCAGAGGTAGAGCTATTGCCTGGTACTGTATTACACTCCAGTAGTCTGCACTTGTTGCTTTTTTACCAGTTGACACTGCTCTTCAAAGCCCAGGTGCCACTGTTGGTCTGCTTCATTGATATGTTAGCTTGAGACTGCTGGGGTGATGATGTGGAGAAACACACTGAACTCTGCTAAACATCACATTCTGAATTTAGCTGCCAGAACCTGATCGGAATGAGAGACCATTGATGTTGGCTTGATGCAGCAAATAACATTCATTCTTTCCAGCAGCAAGTGGGGATGCTGCTGTCAGTAGCTCTTGCAGTAAGGTCCACACTGACCTTTTACTTGATGTTCCCATGTCAGACCTACTCACTAAATAATGTAACCACTTGGACGCCATGACCAGTTTTCAGGCCTTGTTTCTTAAGGGAAACTTTGTTACAGATGTTTTTCCTTGCCGGAAATGTGGGTAAACTAAATTGCTGAGCACAGTTGTTAATTTGTAACCCTCATAATTTACTAATTTTTAAAAAAGCGTGGTGTAGGGTGGGATTTGCAGACTGTATAATTCAGAATCAGGTACTGCAATGGCAGTGGGCCTTTGTCAAGAAATTTTTAACAGGGCTGGTTTCTTAACCAGCAGTTCTTGTCTCTTCCTGCTTTAGGCTTGATAGGAGATATTTTAAGTGGCTGCTATAATTTTTCAGATTATAGGAACTGGGGCTTCCTCTTGCCTGACCTTTGGAGCCTAGCTGGTGTGTTCCAAAGGACTGGGGCTCTGTTTATCTGAGCCCCATGGATGTGGCTGCTGCTTTCTTCCTTGGAATCCAACCAGTCATACACAGACACATACACTGATAGGGCTGATTATACAGATTTCTGTGCACCATGTGCTGCCTTCAACACCCACATAAAACACTGTCAGAACTTGTATAAAACATAATTATAGACAGCCAAGTCTCCTTCCTTCTCTTCAGCTGATCAGGATTGAACTTCGTTAGTGAAAGTACATACTCTCTTCTGCGGCCTCACAGCTCTGTGCATGTTTATGAGCCCCTCAACCATCCATCCAAGGTTTGCTGTGTCTAATGCCCTTTCCTGAGCGCCATGGATCTCACATCCACCAGCTGGGTCAATGCACAGCAGCAAACAGCTGATGTATTTGTATGCATGCCTGTCTGCATGGATTCCCTCAAATATCAGCATGGGCTCTTGTCCTGGCAAATATCCCTGCCTGGGTGCTGGCTAGACCAGCTTGAAGGTTGCTGGTTAATTACAGTCCTGCACACCAGCTGTGCAGGGTTGGAGAAATGCAAATCTTCCTGCCCAGCCCAGCAGCTGGCACCCAGACACACAGACCTTACAGCCTATGACTCCTGCTCCAGTTGCTAGTGCTAAGACCCTTACTGTGTTTTTCTCATCCCCTTTCTCTGCTGTAGCTGGTATGTGTAAGCTGTGACCATGAAGCCTCTGATCCATGGTCTTATTTCACTAGCTGAAGCAGACCCACTCACTTGTGCCAGTTGCTGGCACCAGGGTTTCTTTCACCTTCTGTCAGACTATAGTTGCTGGCCCAGAATTCATTCACAGAATGACCACTGTGTAGCTCCAGATATGTGCTCTCACCACCTGCAGATGTGCTCCTAGTACCTGTAGTTCCCCTTCCAGCTACTGATGTTGAGCCCTTCCTTTTCTCTAGTTTCAGCTTCATCCCTTGTGCTGCTGCAGTTGCCAGACCTGAACAGACCCATGCCTGCTGCTGACACACAGTTCTTAGAGAGCACATGCACATGGGCTTGAGAGTGAGATTGCACAGAATAGTTAGGATTTAATAAAATAGGATATACAGGTGAGCATGGTGAGATTGGCAACCTTTTATGCAGCAGGCCCTTTTGCTACCCTTTTCTCTCTCTTGCTGCACTTCTGTTCCCTTGTCCTGAACATTCCTTGATAAGCATTGCACAGGCCTTCCTTCAGTATCCTCAATCCTTGTGGTGTTCTTCTTTCCCATGTATTAGGAGTCAGGTCCAGACTGCACCTCTATAAAGTTATGCCTGGAGTTTCTTAAGCCTGTGAAGAACTCAGTGAAGAACTGGAGACTTCCAGTCTTTGTCACTATCTCAGTTGTGCCTTCTCTATCAGGTTTATAGCTCTAGTTGTTTATTGTTTCACATTTTACTTATTCCCCCTATTTCTCTGCTTGTTTCTCTGTTTACTTATCCCTTTATATTGAATTGTCTCTGATTGGATAATCTTAATGAAGCAGATTTTTCTTTTATCTCGTTCTCCACAAAAATACATTATTTTGTATTTGAGCTGATCAGTAGTGCTGAACTTTTCTACTCTTAAGTGTTTATGAAATTATTTTTTTTTCCACACAGGTACATGGCTCCTGAAGTCCTAGATGATTCCATAAATATGAAACATTTTGAGTCATTCAAACGAGCAGACATCTATGCAATGGGATTAGTGTTTTGGGAAATAGCTCGGCGGTGTTCAATTGGTGGTACGTGGCAATCTTTATTAAATGGGACGTATTAAGGAATTATAAGGAACTTAGACTTATTCAGGTTCTGAAAACAGTTTGCTCAAAAAACAGTGCAAAGTAATGGCCAGTTGATCTCAGACTTTGATTGTTAATCCTGTAAATGATAACTGGTTTATTCAACCTCTTTCTAGATTGACAGACCAAACTTGTTGAAGAAAATAGGAAAATTTTTTTTCCGAATATTTACATAGAGGGGAGAAAAGGGTAAAATTTAATAGCTTTGTGAGCAAGAGGCAAATACCACAAGACCTAGCTATATTGTGTTCAGATAAATCTATATCTTATTTAAAATTAAGCATGCTGTTATAAATCATGTACTTTGAAGAAGCATGTTTTTAGTATAGCACGTGAAAGATTTGATGTAGCTTATATCTCTTTCAATTTTATAAATTTTAGATGCTTGAAGGGTAATGCAAACACTCCTAAGGTGTGGTTAAGGATTTTCATTTACTTGTCAGTTGTTGTGATGTAACTTTTAAAAATGAAAACTAAAACCTGGTAGGGTACTGATAAGGAACACAGTAAAAAAGTGGAGGATATGTAATCCAGTGTTAGCTAAAAAAAGCTATTTTTAACCTGTTACAGGAATCCATGAAGATTACCAGTTGCCATACTATGACCTTGTTCCTTCAGACCCTTCTGTTGAAGAAATGAGGAAAGTTGTGTGTGAACAGAAGTTAAGGCCCAATATTCCAAACAGATGGCAGAGCTGTGAGGTATTAACTAACTTTGCTAAAGCTGCTTTAATGGACATTAGAGCTTTTAGAGCTTTCAGTGGCTTAAAAAGTATTCTTATTGTTGAAGGGAGAAGAGCTGCTTTTAGGAGAACTTCATTAATTTCATTCTAATCATTATGGTTTTATTAAAAACATTGTTTCTTGGTTATACATAAGTATTTAAATGTAATTTCATAGAAGTTCATAGCTAACTTCTAGGATCCCTTCCTATGAAGCACAGATGATGCCAATATAAATTACAGCTAGTCTGAATTCCATTATGCAGGAAGCAGCATTGCAAATAAATTGTCTGGCTGGGATTGAGTCAGTGTCCTTCATAGTAGGCTGCGTGACGCTGTGCTTTGGATTTGTGACCAAAACAGTCTGATAGCACACTGCTGGTTTAGCTGTTGCTTCGCAGTGCTTGCACAGCTTCAAGGCATTCTCTGTTTCTCAAGTAGCTTGGGGGTGGACAAGGGCATGACAGGGAGCAGAGCCAGGACAGCTGACCCAAACTGGTCAGAGGGAATATTCCATAGCATTGCTCTGTCACAGCCAGTGACTCACAGCTTGGGGCAGCAGCTTCAGTGGGCTGCAGGAGCAGTGAGGTACTGATAAGGATGAGGTGCTTTGATAGAGGAGGGAACCTGGGTTGTGGCATGCACAGTATGAGTGCATGCTAAGAGTTGGGCAAGAGTGCACAGGAAGGGGAGAGGAAGGGGAGAGGAAGGTGGTGAATGCACCAACAAACTGTGAGATAGGTAATTATCAGGATTAAAATTACTAAGGTAATACAGCTTTCACACTCACTTTGGAACTGTTACTTCATTTAATCTGCCATTTTTGTTACTTGCTTTGTTGCAAATAACATGTAGAAGGACTCAGATTTCAAAGAGTGGCTGTTTGATGGATAAAAAGACTTCAAAAACTTTTTGAATCCTTACAGAGTTTTCATTTGAGGAAGACAGCTCATGAACTTAATTGCTGTGCATTGAAGTAACTCTTTAACTGCAAGTACAATTAAAAAGAGTGTATTTTTGTCTGATGTGAAAATTCAGAAACCTGTTACAGACAAGTTCATAATTTTTTATTAAAATATTGTTTTCATGGGCCAAAACTCTACTGAAAAGTATCAGGTTTGCTCTACAGTGTTTAGAGAGTTTTACTTTTCTGTAAATAAAGTAAGGGGTTTTTTGTTTTGGTTTGTTTTTTTTTTTAACAGTACACTCTTCTATGCACTATGTAGTACTGGTAATGGACTTCAGTCAGAAATGCCTGAAGAGTCTTAAGGCAGAGCAGCAGTTACATGGGCTACACTGGAACAGCAGTACATATAATGACTTGTGTTTCCTTTGCAGGCATTACGAGTGATGGCAAAAATTATGCGGGAATGCTGGTATGCCAATGGAGCCGCTCGGCTGACAGCTTTGCGCATTAAGAAAACATTATCACAACTTAGTCAACAGGAGGGGATCAAGATGTAATCCTGGATTTGCTACCGAAGAACACTGTAAAAATCCCTATCTGCACCAGAGTGGCATGTTAAGAAGGTTAATTGTTCTACCTCACTTGGGGGAACAGAAGGATATTGCTGCCTTTTAGTACTTCATAGGAACGTCACTTTTTAGGATGTTTGTGGATGTGCTAAACAGTTGTGTTGGGTCTTTCTGTGCACTATGAACCTCTTTCCCAGGTTACTTATAAAACATCATGTACTCTAGTTTCATTAATCTATAATTTTTTTATTTTGGAAATTGATAGCTGTTCTTTGCTAGCTGTACTAAAAGTAGGAGGTCACTTCTAAACTGAAACTGGTTCGCTATATTGTTCTGCAGTGCGTTGATGGCTCTTACAGTAACTTTATTCCTGCCTGGTACATTGACTATTCTGAACCACTGTCTCAATTCCTGGATTCAGATTGTGAATGTACTGTTGGAGTATACCTTGCTAGCTATTAAGGTAGTGCATCTTTTGGACTCTTACCTTGACTTACAAATTGACCTCATTCAGTTGTGGGAACATAACTTATGCAACTATACTTTATACATGATTTTACTGGGTTTTTTCCACTTTTTCGGAACACTACATTGCCTTCAAAAATAGATTGTATTACACCAGTAAGTGCCACTTTTGAGTCTTTTAATGCAAAATAGTAGGGATGTGCAAAGCCTATGGTACTTTTGGTTTCAAAAATAAAAGTTAAAAGTTGTTCCTTTGCCTAGCTAAGTGCTAAATCTCACTCATTGCAACAGTGAGTACATAATAGATAAAATGTCTTCAATTTTACCAAAATCTGACTCTTGAAACCACTGTAGGAGTTTTAAATAGTGTAAGCTACTAAATTCACTGTCATATTTTGTAATTGTCAAGTTACGAGTCATAATTATGTAGAAGATTTTTTTTATCAAGTGGTACTTCTAAAATGCTTGAAGTACCTATCTACTTCAGAAAAGTAGCAAGAAAAGTAAAATGTTAAAGGAGATTTTGCTTCATTAAATAAGTATGAAAAGCGTATTTTCTGTGCAGTTCTGCCGAGTCTTAAGGCTCAAAGAACAATATTTGCAATTACACAAGGATTAAATGCACCTGTCATTAGAGAAATTATTTGGGCTTTTGTACTAGACAGTTCAAAGCTGCTTATAAGTTTTATGTACTTGTATGTTGTGTGTGCCTCATACACAAAGTGGTGAACTAGAGAAAGCGGTGAGCTGCAGGTCTTTGGATACAAATATCAGGGGGATTCCAGCAATCCTCTTCATTGTTAGAAGAACAAAGCTTATGGTGACGTGTGTTGTCATAAGAACACAGAAGAATATGCATGGCTTTAGTCAAGATTTCCCTGAGTTTTTAAGAGTATCATAATATTGTCACAAACTTGTTTTGAAGTTAAATTGCTTCCTGCCCAAATGTACAACAAAAACCTGCTGTTACCAGGTGTCATGGTGTGATGCTGGCACAATGCCAATGCCCCCATGGAAATATATTCTCTCTAGTATCTGCTGTGAGATGTGACTAGAAATAGAGCGAAGCAGGCTTTAGCTTAGGAATGAAGGAAAAAACTTTATTAAGCTATAATATGTAAAAAGGAACACACACATAACTCAGAATGAAAACCTTCTAAAAATATTCTTCCTCCTCCTCACTCAATTTTTACCACAGTACAGTGAGACAAATCCTTGGATTCTCAATCAAGTTATCATCCTTCAGATAATCAATTCTTAGTTTATCAAGGGAGAGGGGAGTCTCTCTTATACCATTGGTTCCCTAGGAAACACAGTTGTAACTTCTTGTAACATCTTGTTCCCATGTCACACATGGCACCACCCAGAGAAAATCTGCCCTTGTGACGTCTTCCTTCCATGATGCAGTGCTCCCACCGCTGTTCATGGATCAAAACTGCTTATAGGGTTCCCTTTAAGGATGCTTTGCATGTACCAAAAAAACACCAGTCTCTTATTTTTGGGACAACAGTCCCACCCATTTTCATTCCCCTGGGGCCAAGATCTCGAGACTTCTTCCCTGAAGGACAGAGGGCACCACCACACCCTCATCTTTTTCTGTTCTCTTCACTCCTGCATCTTTTTCTGACTTCTTTTACTTGCTCTGACTTTTACCACAGTTGTCTATTTCCTTCTATTTCATGTCTGTCTCTCTTGTTCAAATCAAGGAGAGTAGTGTTTCATAAAGTTTTCATTGTTTAAGAAAAGGGTTAAAATCTCAGGCTCTGCCTGCCGAGAACTCCCACAGCAGCCAGACACCTTCTCGATGCACCCCCCACCACTTTTCCTTTGGCCATGCTGCCAGCACAAGATATCAAATTTCAAGGTGGCACAGGCTCTCTTGTCTCTCTCTCTCTCTCCTGGGGGTGCTGTCTGATGCCTCTCAGTGTTCATCCACCCTTCCATCCTGCAGGGCCCTTCATCCCCTTCTCTGTCCAAGGCTCCTCACCCAGGCCGCATGGCTCCCCGCCCAGCCCGTGCTGGGCAGGGGAGGTCTGACCTCTTTCATGGACCTGAACTGAGAGAGAGTTCCTCTGGGAGGTCCCTGCTTTTAACCCCCTGTGTTCTCAGAGGCGGTCCATGTCTTCAGTGGCCACACCAGGTGGCAATATTCAAATCTGACCACTGATTGATTTGAGCACAACATCCCAAAAAACTCACTTCCTTATCAACCTAGGACACCAGGATATTTTTTTTTATTGCAATTTCCGTAAGAGTCTGGTTGACCTTTGGTTTTGTTAATGTCCAAAACAGTAGTGTTTTAGTATGTAAATGAGTGTGGTAGTTAATATGCTGGCAAACCTGCCACTCTTCAGAACACATCAGTGCCCATCGGATTATGTAACATATATGGCAACCTTTAACTTGGCTTCCTGTTCATCCCTTGGCGTAGAGCCCACTGAGAGTTTGCTACCACGATGGTGGCAGTGGCAGGGTGGTTGCTGGCAGCAGCACAGTCAAGGTTCTGTGCCATGGTCTGTGATGTGTGGCAGCTAAAGTAGGAAGAGGAAGGGGGCCCAGGAAGAAGAGGCTACGTAAGTGACACAAGCCTTACCCAAGAAAAGCCTTAAGAGTTGATTTTTGTTTATTTCCATATTCTTACTGCTTGCTTGGAGATTAGTTTAAATGATGTCAGAATTAGACTCTCAGAGGTCAAACTGCAAATAATGAAATTATTTTGTCAACAGTGGATGAGTTTATTCTAGTAAGACAGTATCCAGGAGAAAAGGGAAAAATAAGAGAAGTTCTTAGAAACCAATTCGGTTTAAACATACATACAGCTGTCACGCTTATGTTTGGCATTATCTGACAAGTCAGGCTTATGTGCTTCAGGCCTCTGTCAATCAAAGCCAGATTAAAAATTACTTCATGTAGGTATTTTAAATAAACTATGCCTTTGTGCACATGGACAATTGTGGTCCACAGAGTTTTTCAGTTAACTGTTGAAAAAAAAAAGTTTGTAACTTTTTTAACATAACTTCCAAGCCTGTCTGCTTGGTAACCTTTCTAGAAAGTTCTATGTATCTGTACAGATACTTTAAAAAAAAAACAGGTCATCATGAAAATAGGTCAGGGTCTCCATCTAATTTCAAAGGCTTCCTAGTCAGCAATTTAACTTTTTTGTTTTGTAACTTTGTTACATTTCAAGTTTTCATAGGTGTCCTGGGGTCCTTACCATAGATACAACTGGTACAGCTACTACTTCAGAAGTGTCAGGCTCCTGGCATGCCTCAGATCTCTATACTAATTTTGGTGGGAACAGGAGTGTTTACAGTATAATTAATCAAATAATTTTTAGTGACTCTTTTAACACCCATAAAACCTTATCGGTAAAACATTTAATTTCCTAAAATATACAGAGCAGTTCTGTTGCATTTTAAAGAGGATGTACAGCAGCTGAACAGCATCATGGTGCACAGATGATTCTGTCAACAATGTAACTGTGTGTTATATTGTATCAACCACCTGCAAATCTTCACTCTCTTGAATTGCTAGCAACTCTTCTTACTTTATTCAAAATTTAGCTTTGCAATAGAAGCTTGCAAAAACAAAGGACAGAGGGATGCTTGACACTGTGTATGACCTATGGAACAGTATTTTAGAACAACCTTATTATCATTCCTATTGGGCTGCAGAACAGGAAAATTCTGAACAGAGCTATATGTATCCTCAGTGCTTTTCTGACACCACGACTTCAAGCTTTGTTCTTCTTTTCCATTATATGAACTGAACACCTTTTACAAAGGCTGTGTCTGTATATATTATGTAACTTTAAATGTTACCTGTGTAAGATCATATCTTATATATATGGACACAGGTACACATAAGTATTTTTTAAATTAAGATTGTAATATCACCAGATCTGCTCTTGGAAATCCAGGGGGACCAAAATATTTTAGCATTCAAAATATTAATTTTGTATCATTTCAAGTATATACCAAAACAGTTTCTGATTAATACCGATGCAAATGTTTATTGTAAATATTACATACATTGTACATTCACTTGAATTTTGTGGATTCAATCAACTTTACATTTTAGTAGCATTGAAGCCTCAGTTTGATTTACAGACTTGTGACCAGATGGATATGGACATGGAGAGCAAGAAGCATTGGAAATGGTCTGATGCTGAAAAGCCTGAAGTGTCATTTTTGAAATGCTGGAATTCTTCAGGGACCTTCCAACCTTGAAAGCTGGAATTCTGGGATGTTTCTCAAGCAGACTCTCCAAGTATGACACACTGTCACCTTCCTATGGTTCTGCTTGTAATCCTAAGAAAGACTTTGTATATAAATAAAGACATTGGTATCGACTGTATGGGGACATGAAGGTGTCAAATGAAGTAAGAGGCTATTTTATTTTCGCAGTAATGGCTCTGTGTGTGAATGCCATGAAATTCACCTTTTAGTTAGTTCCTTGTTTATATTGTGCCATTGAAATGATTGCAAGGTGTTAATCATTTTGTGTTTAAAAAAACAAACAAAAAAATCCCTTCACCATATCTGTTGCTTTAAACTCAAATTACCTCTTAAAAGACCAAGGTACATTTACCTCATGTGTATATAATGTTTTAATATTTTTCAGAATGTTCTCCAGGTTTGCAGTTACATATTTCTAGAAATACAGTTATTTCTAAATTTACAACTTCAGTGGTACTAAGTGTATTATCTGGTGCCCCAAAACACTTTATTTTCTGTATTTTATTGTATTAGCAAGTTTGCTGCTTCGTCACTGTAGCACCTGCCCTTACATAGCTGTGTGGATACTGCCTTGTAAATTTTACTTTTTGGATTATTTGAGGATCCTGTACAGATGAGTGTCACTTTTTTAAACCTTACCAAATTGTGCATTTCCCTTACATTTCTGAAAATATGTATTGTATTTGTAGAGTATACATTTCAATGGATTGTAAATAGGACAGTAGAAGAGTGGATGCTTATGTTAAGTGCTAACACTACAGTAGAGAGATTAAAGCAGTGAAAATAAATAACTTTTTTCAAAATGCACGAGTTGTCTTTCAGAACAAGAAGTTGCAGGTAGATACAGGTTTGTGTGCGATGTTCCTACCTGCTAATATGTGTGTTTATTGTGAGTTCAATTCCTCAGAAGGAATTTCTTCTAGTACAAAAATGCTAAAAGGATTTGCTACTGCTGAGGCAATCCACCTCATCTGTGCTATGTACATAATGCTAAAGTGCCTGATCGTCCTTGCCTCCTACAGTAATGTTGGTATAAGAACATTGCTGGTGTCTCTCATCTCCTGGACAGAGTTAGTAATGACAAATTGTTCCCTCTCTACATTTATATTTGCATAAAAATAACAGACTGTTTTAATCTGTTTAAGCAGCTCAGTACCTCAGTTCATCCCCTAACTGAAAGTAAAATCTGCTTGTGTTGGAGTGGAGTGTTTCTGTACAAAACTCAGTTTTGGGCCGGTGTTACATTTCTGAAGGAAAGTGGATATTTAGACAAAACAAGAATAGGACACCTTGCCCTCATATACGTTTAGGTTCATCCTTCAGTTTTGGCTCAGACAGAATTACCAAAAATTACTACTTTCAGCAAACTTTCTCCTCAGTGGGAAGCCATAAGGTGTCCAGAGAAAGCCTATGGCTACATCAAAATGCTGTGTTCCTTTCAAATGCTTTTAAAGGAGCTATCATTATTTTGGTGAGAACACATCCCTTTCCCATGAGTGGCTAAAGGAAAGCCTTTGCTACCCATGCAAGCAACCAAAACTCAGTAAAATCCTGAATCCCTCTACTGCATTCACTAGTTGAGGAAATGGGTGGCCTGGAATTAACACAGCAATGTTGCTGTGTACCAAACTTAGTTTTCATGAAGTAGTTTTCTCCGTTTCATGCTTTGAGTGCCTGAGCCTAACAACTGAAAATTCATAAACAGCAAACAATTACCATAAGTAACTTAAATGTGAGGATGTTTTAGGATCATTTTTGAGGAGACTGAATTCGGGAGATCTGTGTGTTGGTTTGGATTGCAAGTCAGCATAAAGAGTGGCAGACTTTCAGCTGGCTATTTTGCACAGTAACATTATTTTTTAAAGTGTAGGACTTTTGAAGGAGATTGTTTTTAATACCCACTGCAGCCAAACAATACTTTCTATAGGTGCAGCATAGCTAATGAGTATATAAACAAACCACTTCTATGCAGTACCAAGTAAGTACTACAAATTTCCTTCTGTCAGTTTTTGTGACATTGGTAACTGATGCACAGTGATGTACCCGGTAGCTGTAGTATAGCATAAGGGTGTTCCTGGCAGAAAATAGATTCCTTTTAAATAGGAAATCAGAAATTCCAAATCTCTCACTCAGTGCTCTTACTAGTTTTTTTATCTATCCAGCTAAGCCATAATGGTTTAACTGGACTTAACAGTGTTTATTGTTTTGCTGAAGAAGGGTAACTGGACACAAATGCAAAAACCCCCTTATACCTACATGATGGGCTGATGGGGTTTTGAGTCTCATAGTTTGTGTCTTGGAGTGTCTGGAGTTGTTCCAGGTCTTCTAGGTTGGGGGAAAAAAAGATATTGGCATAGCATTTCCTTTGTCAACTTGTCTGGACTGCAAATAAAATCCAATAGTGCTCGAGAAACCCACACCCTTAAGTCTTCCTCAGAGTTTCTTGAAAATTAGATTTAAGTTCCCAGCCTCTGAGGTGAAATGGTATCTGAAATCATTACCTCTCTTGAGAAGAAGAAGAAAAAAGCCAGAGCAAACCATACTGATAGGTTCCTATGCAAGATTGCAGTGTTTATTGGTGTTAAAAGATTTCTCACTAGAGATGAAGAGTCGGCATCCTCACAATGTGTTTTTAATTAGCTCAATTAGGAAAATGAGAAGAGCTCTCCCACCTGCCAGTAGCAGAAAATCTGTGTAAGCAGTTAAAAATTCTACTCAGTTTTATAGAATATCCAATATATTTATGTAGATTTTTAAATGAGGGGTGAAGAAGATAGGAATATGCCTTTAAATCCAAGCAGGATGCAGGACTTGTGGGATGCACAGTGAAGCAATAAAGGACAGGGAAAGGGAGAGGTTTAGGTGACCTGGAGAGGAGTAAGCATGGGAAAATAGAGGAATAAGGAGATAAAAAGAGTGGGTCATATATAAATAGCAGATCAATCAGTGTGCCAGTCTGTCTGTTCCTAGCACAGCCTCTTCCTTTATTTTTAAATCCCTTTCTGCCTGAAGAACTCTGTTCTGGGGCTGCAAGGATGTCTGAGCACAGCAGCTGGAGCCCGACCACAGAGGGGAGTGGTGGGTCTGTGGTGAAGCAATGGGAAAGACCAGAGTGAGCAAACTCAAGTGTCAGCGTTGGGAGTGTGACCATCGGTCCCGGGTGCCTGCGTGTCCATAGTGCCGGTGACTGGAGTGTGGGTCCAGGCACCAGCAGCTGGAGTGGGACTGAGCTCCAGTACCAGTGGCCGGCGAGACTGGGACTGGGGCAGCTGCTTGCAAGGTGTACGTCTGTGCCTCTGGAGACATGGGGGTCCTTAGTGTTGGCTGTTCTGTTCTGTCCTTATGTTCTGGGTGGCTCTGCATTACCTACTAATTTGGACAAGCAGTTACTGTTTCCCATGAGGATTTGTGCTTGCCTGTATAGCTTGGGCAACAGAACCTTGTACGTCCAGAACTGGGTGTCATTATTTTGATTCTTGACTTTGGTCATCAACCCACAGGGACTAGAAAGCATCTACTTTATTGCCATATTAAATTAAGTATCTAAAAACCTAGAAAGCAAAGGCAATAAGCAACAGTCTTAAGAAAAAGTGTAGTTAAGAAAACCAGAGTTGGTGATAAATTCCAAGTTGTCTCTGTGTTTTAATAACTTATCTATTGCCCTGGACTATTGCTAATTTGCATTCATGAAATTTTCCCATTTCATTCCACACTGTGGGTGTGGGAAACACACCCATAATGTGGAAGGAAATGGGAAAATTTGTGTGTGTGTGTGTGTAACCATGTAGTCCTACTGTTCAGACTCTTAATTAGTACAGGAATGGGGTAAGGAATGGCAAGAATTCTGTGACACTACAGTTGCTGACTAATTCTTATGTGTTTCCAAAGAGTGGAATCAAGCTGTGCTTTCTTTTGTTATTGCCCTCCTGCAGCTTGGACTCTCTGACCTACATCTCCTTCCATGAAGAGGGTTTGGTTATTGCCAGAAGGGCCAGTGAGATTCAGTTCCTGAACCTCTCTGGACAATTCTTCATGGCAGCGAGCTACCTTTTTCTTACCTTTGTTCAGAAAACTGTTTTGCCTATGCTTTTTTTCGCAGATAACTCCCACACTAGATGACAGAAGGCTTTACATATTTGTATTGCGAGACCTGAGCCCTTGCAGGGATCCTCTTTTCCATCTATCCAACTCTGAAAGGTCCATGGACTGTTGCTCTCTCCACTGCAGTAATATTGTCGAATTGCTAATTTCCATCTCTTGCAAAGGCTCCTTGTGCTGAGGCTCTAGTGATTGCAGGCATGCAGCCTCCTAAGCCTCCTATCATTGCTGGTAGAGCAGGTAAGCATGGGCCTTTCTCAAAACCCTTAGAAGAGTATTGAACTTCTCTCTCGCTGGAGACACTCAAAACCCACACGGACACATTCCTGTGTAACTTACTCTAGGTGACCCTGCCTTGGTGGGGGGTGGACTGGGAGATTTTCAAAGGCCCCTTTCAACCCTAACAATTCTGTGATTCTGTGAACTTCAAGAAGAAGGGAATATTGCAGAGAAAAACATATTGCAACTGTTTTAATGTCTTCAGGCTGTGTTATCAGTATGTGCAATATGCTCACAGCCTCTCTCCTAAAGTCCACCTCTTCTGCTTCTTCATTTAAGAGGAAGCTTGAGAAGCAGAGGTGCTGCCTTTATTGTTGCTGCAGTTGCAGGAGGCTTGAAGTACAATACTGAGGAAACTCATATGGTAAAATTTACCTGAGAGTGTGCATACAGATAATCTCAGTGTAAATGTACAAACAGGTAAGCCATTTTAAAAAACAGTTCCAGGAAAGTAACTTGTCTCTGTTGATCATTCTGCTAGTCTTTGAATTCTAGCTCAAAAGCAATGGTTAGATTTTAATGATGTCTTCCTTTGAAATTATGTGTTGCTGCAGCCATTTTTGCAGTTTCATGTAGCCAGATTATTTTGTTGTTTCCTCTTCCAAAGATGTGGCATTCAGCAGCTGAAAATACTTTCAAATTATTTTAAAAAGAAATAATTTATGCTAAGGCAGTATATTTGATACCCTTCAAATTAAGAACAGATGTTTTCTTTAGACCATTTGAAACCTGGATGAAGTTAAAGAAACTTATTTAATATGTGGTTCAACTGATAAATGTTTAGATATCACTGTTTTTCACATCATGCCACTCATTTGTAGAAGGTGAATGACAGCTTGGGGATTTTTTTTCATCCAGTGTATCTTCTCTGTTGGGAATAATTATCTTGGTATTTCTGTGTTGCACTTTCTGTGTATTTAGTGTTGTAGTATGGAGAAAGACACTCCAGCACTCATCTTGCTGAGTTGCTTACTTCACCCCTCTGTTTTAGCTAATGCAAAATTCTGCCTGCTGTCATGTGTTCTGAGTCACTGGCACTCACTTCTTACTGTATCCCCACAGTTCTATTTCCTACTCCATGTCAGAAAGCCACTTGGAAAGCTGGAGGCAGTTGCTTTGGTTTAGTTGATTTGAAAAGTTCTTTTACTCTGCAATTTCTCAAGGTTTTCTTGCTTTTTGTACAGGCTGGCTCTTTACTGGAGACTTTACTGAGAAATTTTACCCAGCAGTGGGTCTCCCCTTCCTTGAAGTCCTATCAGGATTGTGGATGAAGGGAGAAGAATTCTCACAGACCTCTCTTGACATGAGCTCCCTAACTTGTGCACCCCTGCACACAGAATACTTCACACATGGTTCTTTTGCTTTTGCTTTGTCCCCTTACTCCTCCAGATTTACAGGGTGAAAACTCTCTGTTGTGTGCTTGAAGTTTG